CGGTGTGCCGGGAGGGTTCAACGGGGGGAAAAAATGCGAGAAAAAGAAAGAACACGTTTCTGCGGCCAGGTGAGAGTCCAGGCATCGCCCAAACACGATATTGTACCCGCAAACGTTTACGCGCCGTGAAACAGGTGCGAGTCGTGCTTTCCGAGCGACGCAATATGCGAGCACCGCCGCCGCTCGCATAACGTGGATAACGGACGAGAGTGTGCTCCGGAAATCGGGATTGCAAACGACTCTCAACCGAGGCGTTGCCCGGAGGCCACCGAAACGCTCTTCCGATTGCAACGATTGTTACGCGGCACCGACACTTTCTAATCGGCCACCGATTTTCAATCTTCGAAAATTCAATTAGGAAGATAAGATCGCAGCCGCTTCAACTGCCACGACGTTTCCACGAGGAGTTTTACCGACTGCTCCAATCGAGCGCTGATTTTTTTGTATTCTATTCTCTATTCTATTGTCTCCTATTTCATATTTTATTGTTCTTCGTATTATATTTCTTGTATTCTATTCACATCTTCTCGTCGACAACGAGTAAAATACAGAATGTCCCAAAAATGTCTCGCAATGCAGACATAATCGTTCCTGAGGTAATTTGAAATAACTTTTTCCTCAGCGAAAATTCAATCCGCGGCTTCGTTTACGAGTTATTAACGAAAAACAGCGACCAATGAAAGGCGAGCGCGACTGGCGCGGGAGGCGGAGCAGCCAACGAGCGCGCGAAGCCCACTTGCGCCGATTGGGTGGATCGCCTGGCGCGCCAGCCGCGCTAGCCTCTCATTGGTCACCGTTTTTCATCGATAACTCGCAAACGTAGCCTCGGATTGCATTTTCGCTAAGGAAAAAGCTACTTCAAATGATCCGAGGAACCCACTACACACAGTTTGCGAGACATTTCTAAGACAACCCGTGTACCGAGTAATCGAGTCATTTTGTCCACCCTATATGCATACTCAGACCACAGCCTGTACACGTTACACGTCGAATGCGAGCCGTACGTGCAAATTTTGTAAATTCAGCAATTCGAAATCTTCGCGACGAGATATTACAGCGCGATAGGGGATTGAAAGTGGTTCGAGAAGCCGGGAGAAATTCGATCGGCGGAGGCAGATGGGGGCTGTTGACGATTCAAATATTGTTTCGGAATCACCGTCAGTCATTCCGACGACGAGAAATTTGGAAGGGCGCGCGCGGTGCACGCCGGGTCGGGAGATAAAGGTTTCGACCGAGGGCGAACTGGGCTGTCGCGCAGCGATTGATGCATCGATGCGCCGCATTAAATAAACTTCCCGACGCGCTCGCGCCTCCCTCCCCCTCCCCGCGCCGGGCTCGGTGGCTGGCCGGAGCGCGGCGACGAGTCTCAATTTTCCGGAAGCTATGACCGAATTTAAAAGTCAATTAACCGGCCGCCCACTGTTACGCGATCGAAACCGCGCCGCGCCCAAATATTTGCAGCTAATTCCTCCCGCGCGTTTACCACCCTAATACTCGTCGACGAATGTAACCGCTCGTTCGTTAATGCCGCTCGATAGAAAACGATTTGTAGACTATTAACGTTTCCGGCGGCGCGGAGAGCAACGCAGCGGCTCAGCCGCGGAATTATGCGTTCCCCGCTCTCGAAACTCTCGCCGCGAAATATGTATTTCTAGGATCTTTTTTTTTTCTCCCTTCTAGCACCGACGGTGTTTTACACGTCGCTCGCCCCTTTCACTTTTCTTTCCGTCGAACTTTCGGACTTTCTTCTTCCCGACGCCTTCGTTTGCATATCGAACGCGCATCCGACGGGATCGATGCTGGATCAACGCTTTGTCGGAACGACGATTATAAGACGGTGGTGATTTTATTTCGCCATATTGATCGTGATGTATACATGCTCTATGAAATTTCATAATAATACACTTTCTTTGGAACAGTCTTTATAATTTTAGTAATTTTTACAATGCGACTGTTATGCCATATATGGCATTATTTGCTCGGGTTGGCAAATTAACCTTTGACCACGGACATCCGAATTTATGACAGCAAGACGATTATATAATAATATAATATATAATATATAGCAGGTATTGCACATTTTTATGGCAAAATATTTCATAGTCGCGTAGAGAATTCTTCTTCTCTTCAGAGAAGACTCCGTGACCGTGGTTAAGGGTTAATTAGCACGCTAATCTGGCACATCCCCCTAATTTTATTAGAATCCGTAAAACGTAAGAATATATATATATAATATAATAATATCTTTATATAATTTTAATTTAATTTTATCAAATGTTTGAGACGGTTTGCACGGCAGTTAAAACAAAAAACTTAAAACCGGTCTTGTTCGCTCGGACGGTTAATTGTTAATTGTTGCGTAGAAAAATATTATGCATATTATGCAAATACTTCGTATAGAAAATTTTCCGTATCCGAGAAAGTTGCAGGCGCCATCATTCGAAAACTAATATTTGAAGAGAGCAAGAGTCGGGAGGTTGTCGCGTACAAATCGAGGGCAGTCGGCGAGAGACGCGCGTGCTGGCTTTCGGCGGCAAAACGGCGCGAAATTCGAAATCATGGTGCGAAGACCGTGGGGACGCCCGTCTCCGGGGGTTCGTGCGGTCAGGTAGAAGGACAGCCGGAGCCGAAAGGCTGGTCCGGAAGGCAGCTGTTCGATAAAAAGTACGTTCGGACGCGCTACCCAGCCAAGTGTCGCTTGTCACGGGTTGCGTTTCGTAACAACCTGTGTGCTCGATTATAATTTTCAGGAGCCTCGATCGGCCGGCACAAAGAGAGATCTCCCTGGGCCTTTTGTCGCCCGATTCTGGGACGCGTGTGCGATCACGCGACCGAGAAACGCTGCGAAAAACCTACCGAGTGTCGATGTTTCTGTGCGCACCCATTCAACGAATTGTTCCGGGGGAAAAACACGAAATAAAACGGTGATAAATTCGATCCAGATATACTCGCCGGGAAACGTCGACGCGGTCGCGTCAACCCTTCGCGCTATGATTTTGTGTTTTCACAGTCACGTCGATCGGCGCTTCTTCGTTCTTGATCGTTTTCCAGATGGAACGGCACAATTTTTGTTTTTCTTTTTCTTTCGTACATCTCGATTCACTCTCTTTCTCCCTCTCTCTCTCTTTCTCTACTTTTGTTATGAAGAGAGTTTATGAAGAGAGAGAATGTGTGTGTGTGTGTGAGAGAGAGAGAGAGATCAAATTTAGATAATAGAATATAATAGATAATAGATATAAATAGATCAAATTTTGGTGTCCCAAAAATGTCTCGCAATCCGAAAGCAGGGGATTCCTGAGGCCATTTGAAGCAACTTTTTCCTTAGCGAAAATGCGATCCGCGGCTTCGTTTACGAGTTATTAACGAAAAACAGTGACCAATCGGAAGCTAGATCATTTGGCGCGAGACGGTCGAGCCAATGAGCGGAACTGGGCTCCGTGCGCTCGTTGGCTGGGCCGCCGCGCGCCAGCCGAGCTCGCCTCTCATTGGTCAGCGTTTTTCGTTAATAACTCGTAAACGAAGCCTCGGAGAAAATTTTCGCAAAGGAAAAAGTTGCTTCGAATCACCTCGGGAACCTCCCGTTTCCGGGTTGCGAGACATTTTCGGGACACCCTGTATATACACATACACGCCTTTAACAGACTCGGTCGGCAACAGCCTCGCATTTCGAACGATCGTAAAAACCGGGTTTATTTTGTTCGGTACGTTTGTATCAATTCGCGACGGGTTCGCGTCGGATTAAATTTGCATCTTCCGTGACATCGTCGCTTCTGATGCGCAGGAAGACAAAAATAGCGACAGCGTGCTACAGGGCCGGCGTGCCTGCCGTACACGTTTCTCTCGCGTTTGTTCGATTCGATAAAAAAAGCACGAAGCCGTACCAGAGACGACCGGTTCCCCGTTCTCCTTTCTCGCGAAGATTATTCAATAATTTCGATATCTTCGTTCCCCCCGCGGCTTAATTACTTCCATTGCGATCGATGCGATATCGCCCTTTGAGCATCTCCGCACATTATTCCACAAGTGCAATAATAACGCTGGGCTCGACGGAGCGCTAAAGAATGAAAATGTACGCGGCACGCCGTTGCGAACTTTTGTTTCGAACGAACCGATGAACGCGAAAGTAAATCCGAACGATGATTTTCATCTGCTTGTAATTTCGCTCGGCCGAGTCACAGAGATGCACGTGAATACTTCTTTTTTCCCCCTGGGTGCACGTTCCGCGATAGAGCGTCTTAGAATACCTAACCTGACCTAGAAACAACGGCCCGCGAGAAAGCGAATTCGAAGAGAGGGAAGAAAGAGAGCGAGAAAAAGAGAGAGAGAGAGCGCGCGCGAGAGAGAAAGAGAGCGAGAAGGAGAGAAAGAGAGAGAGAGAGAAAGAGAGCGAGAGAGAGAGAAAGGGAGAGAGAGAGAGAGAGAAAGAGAGAGCGAGGAAAAGAGAGAAAAGAAATCAAGTAACGTTTGACAATCGAGCGCCGATCAAGGCGCAAGGTGCACGCGTCTAATTTATTAACACCCCGTATAGCCGAGCACCGGAGCAGGAAAGCAATATGCCTGAAAGGGTCATCGTGTGTATCCGCTTCGACACAGGTTTCACCAGGTGTGCACCGATACAGTGCAATGTCGACGCCGCTGCGCGTTGTCCAGCGCCGGGTAAAAATATTATTTCAAATAACGGATAATAACCCACTTCCGACGATAAAACAATCTAAATCACCGCGATACATTTTATTTCTTCGATACGTTATCCAACGTTTAGAATCGACGATTGGGTCCATCCTGTGTGAACGCGCGAACGACAACTTTTGGCGGCAAATCGCGATCGTGTCGCGAAGAAGGTGTCAACGAACGCGAGTCCAGATAGACTCTCTGGCACAGTCGAACACGCGTCTTTATCCAAAATTCTAGCCGTTCCCGAACGGTGATAAATTGATCGCGGATTTCGCGGGGCATGCAAGCTATCCGAAGAAGTATAGTTGCGAAGGTCGTGCACTCACCCTCTAGCAGGTGCCAGTCTTCGTCGAGCGACGCCAATGCCTGTGCCTGATTAGCCTGTTGTTCGAAGTCGAGCATCTTGGTCCACGGTTTCTCTCTTTTTCCGCCTCTCTCTCTCTTTCTCGCTCTCTCTCTCTCTCTCTCTCTCTCTCTCTTCTTGTCTTCCTCTCGCTCCTCCGGCTCTCTGCGCACAGTGTATCTTCTCGGACACAGCAAATATATCTAGTCACTACACCTCGCACGACAAGAACAATCGTCGCAGTTCTGCTGCTGTCTGCTGTCTCCTTGGACGTTGTTGTTGTTCCCGGCACACCGTTCGCGGCGACCGAAAGAAAACACAGCGGGGTCTCTGGATAGACTTATGCGAAACTGCGGCGGGTTACTTGGGGAGACCGGCGGGGGGCGGCTTTAGGCGACTCTTGGTACTCGCGCGGAATCTTCTCGAGCGACAATTGAAAACTGGTGTGTATCAAAGACACGACTTTCCCCTCGTAGAAACGCTCGCTCGGATAATCTCGAACGTCCTTTCGTCACGAGAGAAAGAAAGAGTGGGTGGTGGGGATAGGAGCGAGCGAATCGGACCGAGCTAGAGGGAGCGAGGCCGGGCCTCGTTCTCTCTCTCCCTCTCTCTCTCTCTTTTTCTCTGTTCCCCTCTCTTTCTCGTCCGCGAGCGTCTCGCCGCTCGAACTCTTTTTTTCGCCGTTTAAAAACTCCGCTCTCTGTTTACATCGGAGTGTTTTCTGGTTGGTCACCGGGTCCGGCCGGTAAACGGCGCAAGCGTCGCGGTGTCCTCGCTGTTCTCCACGAAAGGGGTAATAAATGCTGGGAGAGAAGATCAGGAATTTCACGGTGTGCCTGAACGCCCCGGGTAACCCGCGTGTGCTCTATTTATTTCAATGGGGGGATCCCTTCGCGCCGGCCACGGAAGGAACCGTGTCTCTGGCGCAGAATTACGAGACGAGCAGGCTCGCCCGCGTGCATACGTGGCGGTACTCGAACCGCGACTGATTTCCCCTATCACTACGTGCTCAGCTGCCACCCACTACCCTCCCCCCACCAGCCATCGGCTTGCCCCCACCTCCGCGCCGTCCCCCGCGCGGCCCACCTCCACGCAAGCTTGCTGGTTGCAAGCAACGGTAGAACGTCTGACCCTCCCCTCGGCGCCTATCCGCACCCCTTTCTCCCTATCCACGCTTCCCGCGTCCCTGTCTTTCCTTCTGCCGCTTCTCCCTCTCTCTCTCTCTCTCTCTCTCTCTCTCTCTCTCTCTCTCTCTCTCTCTCTCTCTCTCTCTCTCTCTCTTGCTCGCCGTCTCGCTGTCGCACACACTCTCTTTCACGCCGCAAGTGTACAGGGTGCGGCGAAAGTTGTGGCGCAATCGAGAACAGGGTGATCCTACTCTGCAATAACAAGTGGAAAGTGTAAAATTAACTTCCTATTATACTTGGATGGAAACGGGGTCGGGCGCGCGGAGCCGGTTTCGAAGAAGAAAAAAATGCTCGAAACTAATGCTGTTGTTTAAGCTAATTGGACGACGCCGCGCGCGAACCGTTCGATCACGTCCAGCTGATTTTTCCGCGATAAAGCGATAAAAGCGCAAGCCTGGAACGATTATGCGCGCACCGTTCTTAAGTCACACGTTAATCCGCGTCGGGAGAAGGTCGGGGTCATTCTGCAACGATCGTAATTGTTTTCTGCGCGATCCGCTGCTCTCGGTACGAGATCGACGCCAACTCCGGGACGCTCATTGTTAACGGATTTCTGCGCGGCGGCGTCGACGACCTACTGAACACGCAGCTCGAACGTGCATCGGTGTCCGTGACGCTCGATATGAATCTATATTTACTGATATTTATACGATGTGGCCGTCCAGCGACGGACGGCTGTCGTGCACGGAAAACACACGACTTCCCTGATTTTTTCTTATAATTTTCTGCGAAACCTCGCGATCGTTTATATCAGGTCTACCGGAAAGTTCTGTTCGATAGTGTCACTTCAAGTTTCAATCCATACGCACATGTTGTGATTTGAGGCATACGAGGCGTTTATTTTGAAAGTGACATAAGTCACTTTTGTTTTTAAGTCGATATATTTAACCTTTTAGGCACGACGCGCCACTATAGTGGCTCATCGTTTGAACCAAATAATCGTCTTCATATGCATTTTTTCTTTTGTCCTCACATCGATTTACAACAGTCTACAGAGTGTCCCAAAAATGTCTCGCGATCCGGAAATGGCGGGTTCCTCGGATCATTTGAAGCAACTTCTTCCTTTACAAAAATGTTCTCCGAAGCACCGTTAACGAGTTATCAACGAAAAACAGTGACCAATAAGAATCGAGTACGGCTGACGCGAGACGGTCCAGCCAACCAGCGCGCGAAGCCCGGTCCCGCCCATTGACTCGATCGCCTCGCGCCAGCCGAGCTCGCCTCTCATTGGTCACTGTTTTTCGTCGATAACTCGTTAACGGTGCCTCGGAGAGAATTTTTGTAAAGGAAAAAGTTGCTTCAAATGGCCTGTGGAACCCGCAACTTTCGGATTGCGAGACATTTTTGGGACACCCTGTATATACAGTATCAGAATTCAGCCGTACCTAAAAGGTTAAGGGTTTGCGTTTTAACACTTTAAAAATATGGATGCTAACTTTCGAGAAGATTCACTTGTACTTGTTATCTCAGGATACTGATATTTTTCTCAGTATACATAATTTCGTATGAACATTAAAAAATCACCACTTTTCATCACGGTAAAGTGACTTATGCCGCTTTCAAAATAAACGGCTCATATACGACTATCTGTCTTTATCATTGCATTTACACGCATGTACTCTCCTAAATAAACTGAAACAAAGATGTCCCATGTCGTTATTAAGCGAGACGCGATCGTGAAAACATGGCTACCAATGATGATGCCAGACCACATGCATCCACCATACTCCCCAGGACCTAGCACCCTCCGATTATCGCTTGTTTCTCTCTTTGCAAAACTGTTTACAAGAAAAAGAAATTTAAAACTGAAGCCGACGTCAACCAAGCACCAGTTGAGTTCTTCGCCTCTGAAAATAAATCATTTTTTAAAAATGCCATTTACAAGTTGCCATCACGCTGGCGAGAAGTCATAAGTAACGATGGAAAGTGTATTTCTACAATAAATATTATGAAATGTATGAAAATTCTGTTATATTTCGATTCGAAAACGGACAGAACTGTCCGGTAGACCTAATATTATCGTCGATGCCCGAATTTCATCCTCGGCGCGCGGAGTTACTTTCTGCGAAAAAAAGGTTTGCCGACCCCTGGGTGCCTCTAGCGGAGAGCCCGCGAAGGGTATTGGTCTCATCGGCGAGCGTGTGCGCGCCTCTCTCCCTCCCTCCCTCTCTCTCTCTCTCTCATTTCTCTCTCGTACTTTGTAGTCTGCGACCGTTAATGCAGAGAGAAGTTCGCGAGGCACTCGTGAATCCTCTTCCACTCTCTATTTCAGTTCCTCTCTCGGTCTCCGCGCTCCTTCCCGCTCCATTTCGACCGTCCGTCTCCTTCCAGCCCGCGCTCGGTCCCGCTTCGTGCTCGGCCACGGTCTCGTTTCCCGTTCCCACCCCGACGCCGTTCCCCGTTCTCCGTCCCTCCTGAAAAGACTCCCATCCTCGTTCCCGTATTCTCCGGGTTATGGCTAGCCCGGGTTACCGGTAACCGGCCAGTAAACACAAAGTTATGCGTCTCCCGGTTCTAACCTGCTACTTTTTCTTTTTTTTTTAGCGCGGTACGTACATACGTACCTGGCAAACGAGACGGACGCCGGAGATATTTCGTCTTCCGGCCGATATCGGCCTGTTCGGACGCGGCTACCGAACGTTATCGTGGCCGATGATTCTTCGGCGATGCAAAGATTAACCCTTTGTGCTCGAATGGGGCGACTCTGAGACACCACTAATACTTGTTGTATCACCTTTTGGGATAATTTTGATATTAACGAATTGTAAAGAGTGTAACACTGTTGCGCGAGTCCCAAGAGTCTATTTTCATATATGCATAAAATGCATTTTCTCGTATAAAATATGAATACCGTAAGTCAGAGAAATGATTTTATATTTTCAGTTAAAATAGCTTCGAGTGCAAAGGGTTAAGCGAGAGCTGTACACGTTTAGACTGTACTCCGTGTAAACAAGGTAAAAGATTCAACAAGTATTCGAACGTTTCGAATCCCGAGCACGGTGATGGTGGTGGTGGTGGTGGCGGCGGCGGTTGTTTATCGACTGGTAACGAGAGGACAGAAAAGCAACCGCAGCGTATATAGATTGTCGCGAAAATTGGCATTAGCTGCGTCGAATCCGCGGCGTACGGTCGTATTGTATCTTGGCGGCAGCCCGATCGTATTTATTAATCGGGTAAAACAAGGGCCGGTCGCGCTCCGCGCGGCTCCTGGAACGCGTGTCGCGTGCTCCCTAGCATACGGCCCTGATGGCTCGCGCGCCTCGTCATTTGTCCTCGCGCCCCTCGCCCGCCCACCGCCGCGCACAGGATACCGTCCGCCGCTCACCAAGCCACTCGATTTACTTCTCTCCCTATCCCCACCACTTTCGCGCCGCTCTCCTCTCTCGCTCCCGCCGGCGAGCGCGTCGCGTGGCACTCTCTCCCTTCCACTCTCTATTCCTCCCCACTCCGCCCGGTCGCGCCGTCTCTCTCCCTCCAGCCGTCCCACGGACTCCTCCTCCTCCCTCCCTCTACGCCGGTTATTCGATTACATTTCCTTCTCTCTCCGACGAGACGCCGGAACTATCGGTCCGTTTCTGTTTTACATTGTTTTCGCCCGACTGCGCATCTGCCGAATCTTCGTGTCTCTTCTTTTATTCTTGTTCCTCCTCCTCCCCCCACCCCTCCCCTTCGATCGCTCGTGGCTCGTTCTCGATCGCCTCGCAACGATCTTTCTAAAAATATCCGCGACGCTGATAACTTTCGATCAGCAGGTGACCGACGGTGGCCGACGGTGGCCGACGGTGGCCGACGGTAAAAACCGGCGGGATCCGATAACGCGTAGAAAGGTCAGTGCCGTCCGAAAGCCTGTTCGATTCGTCGTTATCGCGAATTCGAGACGCAGTAAATTCGCGGCGAGATTATTTTTTTTTTCCTCCCGTGTTTTCGGTCGAGAAGCATCGTCCGTGCCCGTTGCGTTCGCGCCGCCACGCTCGACCGACCGGTCTGTCTTTTTCTGTTCCGTTCCTGCTCGACCTCGAGAGGAATCGGCGTAAGGTTTCTCCCTCTTCGTCGCGCGTGCCACGATCCCCGCGCGCGTTCACCGCGTCTCGTTCCCGTCCCAGCCGGTCCCGCTCCTTCTCGCACCGAAGCGTTTGTTCTTCATCGCAGATGCTCGCCAGTGTCGACAACCTCCCTCACCTGAACCACCGAGGCTCGCGAGGATAATCGAGACGACCCGAGGAACGCTCGAACCTTGCGCCTCTTCTACCCGAAATCGTATTCCTATCGCTGACACGGATTCCTAACCGTGTCTCATGCTAACCAAGCTCGAATCGCGACCGCGCGGTACAATTTCTCTGCTTATGTAAATATACGTAGTCGTTTTAAGTCTACTTGCCGCCGTTCGGACACAGAGGGCTCCAGAAGTATAATAATCGCCCGAACGTCTACGCTTTCTTTCCAAGAAAAAGAGCTCGCGCATGTTCTCCGGATGATCTAACCGCGTCCGTTTCACAGAAATACAGGGCGTCCCAAAAATGTCTCGCAATCCGAAAGTGGTGGGTTCCTCGAGTCATTTGAAGCAACTTTTTCCTTTACAAAAATGTTCTCCGAGGCACCTTTAACGAGTTATCAACGAAAAACAGTGACCAATGAGAGGCGAGCTCGGCTGGCGCGAGGCGACCGAGTCAATGAGCGGGACCGGGCTTCGCGCGCCGGTTGGCTGGGCCGCCTCGCGTCAGCCGCGCTCGATTCTTATTGGTCACTGTTTTTCGTTGATAACTCGTT